ATAAAACAAATCTAAAATTAAATATTTTACTTAGAAAATATATAGCTAAAATTAATATATAAGTTTTTATTAAAAAATTAAACTTTTTAATAAAAACACAGGCAAATTTGCCTGTGTTACAATTTAAGGGATAGTTAATATGTTAACAGAAGATGCAAAAGAGAAAAGATTAGAGCTTTGAGTAGTACTGCAAGATATGAAGAAGGCGTTTGACTCAGTATCGCTTAAGATGTTGAAAAAAGTATTAGAAAGAATTAAAATACCACCAAAGCTGACAAAGCTAGTGCTATTACTATTTGAAAATAGAAAAGCACAGATAATAACAACATTGAGGCTAACAGAGCCAATAGAGTTAAAGAATGGTATAGAACAGAGTGAAGTATCATCACCACTACTATGGTGAATTTTCTACGACCCATTATTAACAAGAGTCTAAGAAGATAAAGAACTCAGTTACAAAATAAGTGCCTTGAATCCAGATTTAGCACAAGGAGCCTCAGGAGAAAGAGAAGAAGTAAGAGTGTTAGTAGTGGCTTATGCTAATGATACAATGTGGATTGCAGCAAATAAAAAAGTAATGAAAAAGACATTAGCAATAGCAAACGAGTTCTTTATACTTAATGATATTCAAATTAATGGAAAGAAGTTAAATTTAACTCCAAATCTAAGGCCGAAAAAAGATTTATTTTCTTTGGTAACAAAGAAATTAAAAAAGAAAAACCTAGTAGCATAATAAGAATGCTGGGTATATGGTTCAATTGCAAACTAAATGAAAAATATATACTTGCTAAAGCTAAAAGGATAGTTAAACAAATAGCAAAAATGCTTAGATGGAAAAAATTAACAATTAGTCAATTAGCATATATGAACAATATATGTATTATTCCTAAGCTATGCTATCTTCTTCAATTAACAAGAGCTTCCAAAGCAATACTAGACCAAATTCATCAACCAATTCTCAGATTAGGGAAAAACAAATTAGACCTGCAAAGTACAGCATTCAACTATATAGTAATGTATAGAAATATAGACAATTCTAAGATATTAAACACAGAGCTTACAAATAAGTAAATCACAAATCTACATAATAGACTAAATAATGAAAGCAAAATTAGCCAAATTACTAAAATAAGAATTTGGCAAGGATATAGAATTGCAGACATAACTAAAGATTTAGATGATGAAGAAGATAACATGAATATCAAGAAGCTTTAGAAATTTAATTAGACGATGTTAGTACTGTGGAAGGTAGCAAAAATTAAGATATCGATAAAACCAATGCAGAGTAGCTGGAAGATAAGCAATATTAGAAGAACGATATGAAGTATAATAGAAAAAAGATATTTATCCAATATGTACAAGCAAAAGAATCACTCAGTCTACTTTTTATTGAGCAATTGTTAAATAAACAAGGGAACCAAATGATTACATGGCATCATCTTAAAAGAGTTAAAGATGGATTATGTAAAAGAAAAATCTCTCGTTGGTTTAAGGCACTAGAAGATTAAGTTTTAGAAATAGGGAATCAAGAATTTTTAAACCCAAGCTACGAATGACAAACATAAACAGGCTAGCCCTAATAATAAAGAAACCAAAAATTAAAAAAAAACAAACAAAAACATGACTAAGTGCTAATAGATAACAAAGAAAATAAAGTGGATATATGAAGAGTTATAGGAAAAAAGAAAAAAAAAGTTTAGACAAAGAAATGGTCTATTAGCAAAGAAGAAAATAGGAGAGTAATAATAGAAAAAGATGATACTTCAATTAAAGCTAACCTCCAAAATGAATAGATTGGAAAAGAAAAGATAGTGGCAGCATTGCAGGGAGTTAGAAAACAAGAAAAAGGATAGTCGATAGACATGTCACAAAGTTTACTTAAAGAACTGAAAGTGAATAATAACAAGGATAGAGTAGACAAAGTAGAATTAAAAAAGATATATAGCTCAGCTCAAGCAAGCCTGGCAAAAGTAATATATAGATAGAATAGAGATAGATTTAGTTAAACGACAAAAATTTAGTATACAATGTGAAAAGATCATATTAAAACAACTAAGAAAAAATATAGAAATGGAAGAAAAAACTTTAACCTTTTATACAGATGGTTCGCTTATTAAGAAAAAAATAGAAAAGGAGGTTCTATGCAAACAAGGTCTTGGTTGGATTCAGATAAACGAAAACGAAACCTATAAGATCCAAGATGGTTGCTTTAGTACACAGTACTGGCTGTTATTAACAAGAGCAGAACTAGCAGCAATCTGAGTAACTCTGCTTATAGCCCTATCAAATATCAAAGTTAAAATATATACAGACAGCGCAGCAGCAATCAGTGCAATTTGTAAAGGAGAAAGAATTAAAATGAACAAAGAGTGGCTAAGACAAAAAAACTATAACTTAGTACTCAAAATTATAGAAACAAAGCAAATTAAAAATATAGAAACAGAGCTTATCAAAATCAAGGAGTATAGTGAAAACAAGTAGAATGAGAAGCAGATCGTTTAGCAAAATTGGGGCTAAATGCACCTGAATTATGTTCGCAAAACATTGATACAAACTCAAGACTTAGATATAATATTTTTTGGAGCAGTAGCCTTATCGAGGTACCAACAAGGAAATTCATTAAAGATCTAGAAGACACAAGAATAGCAGCAGAGTGAAGAACTTCAAACATAGTAAAACAACTAGAATCAAGTGATGATACACAAGAATGGAATTGGGAAAGTTTATGGAAAAGAATCAAAAGCCAAAGCGGAATTAGATGTATATCGATCAAAAAAGGAAAAAAGCTAAACTTTTTGATCAAATGTCTACATGACAAACTTCCAACTCTAGACAATCTCAAAAAAAGAAGACCAGACCTATATAAAGAGAGTAGCTACAAAGTTTGTAAATGAAATATAGAAGAAACACAAATATATTTAGCAAGCTGCAAAGCACAAGAAGTCTGCTGGTTAGAAATAGAACAAGTAGCTATTAACATGGTACAAGCTCTCATAGATAAAATTAAAAAGCAAAGAAGATCATGGCTACTAGAGCTCCAAGACCTTATATTTGGAAGAAGTCAAGAAGAGAAAAGAGAAAGAAGAGCTGGATTTATTAAAGGCCTTTATAGAAGCAGTATACCCGAAGACTTGCAAGACCTAGGCTTATCAAGAAAAGAAACAAGTAAAGCTCTCGAAACGGTAGTATACATGGTATGGAACTGTTTTCATAAAATCATCTGGAGGTAGAGATGTGAAAAAGTAATAGAATGGGAGCAAGAAGAAGGGATCGCAAAAGAACAAAAAAATTGAGAAGAAAAACAACTAACCAAAAAAGAAAAGAAATGGCCAAAGGAAAAAAGACATTCAAATTTAATTTATCACATATCCCCCCAGCAAAATCAGGAAATAGTGAACTACTCGAGGTTAAAGAAAAAAGATGGAAAAGAAGTAAAGAAATAGACAGGTTAACAGAGAAAACAATTACTGATAGAGTATACAAAGGTGGAAAGCTATTATGGTGTAGCGCTTAGGCTGGTTTAACACAGCCTCTAATTTCTAGAATAGTCTTTAAATTAGTGCAGCAGGTTGCACTTGGGCACCTATAGGGCAGCCAGGTGATGTCAGGCTTGCAAATTAAGAGTAAACGAGTATACAAATTGATGTAGTATACTTAGAATCTTAATAAAGTACTGGCAAAACCGCCTAAGTGGAAAAAAAAACCTCCCAAAATAATATCAAATGTATTAACTCTAAAATACTTAATAAAGATCCTATTATTTATCAAAAGTATCAAAAGTTCTCTGCCAAACCTACAAATAAAGAAATGATAAAGAAAGCATTCGAACAAAATAAATACAACTATCTTTTTAAAGCCTACAAATTTTCAAAAGAAGCTAAATGACAAAATCTTAGACCAAAAAGAAAGAAGCAATACCAATTTATAGCATTATTAAATAACAAACCAATACTAGTATTACTAGACAAAGGAGCAAGTGCAAATGTCATAGAATCAAATATGGCAAAAAAATTAGGATTACTAAAAAAAATAGACATCACAAAGAAATTAACTGCTATCTTACTAGGAGGACAAATAATAGAAAATCTTGAACAAGTAAAAGCAATATTTCAAGTAAAAGATATTAAAGCAACTCTTAAGATATCAATTCTTGAAGGAAACTAAGCTTATATGCTCTTATCAAAAGTAGATCAAGACAGACTAAATATCTCAAAAGACAGAAATAATAAAATAGCTCGAATAAATGGAAAACCAATATCATATCAAGATATTCCCCCGAACCAATTACAAGGGTTATTAAAGTTAAATCTTAACTCTGTTTCAGGAAATCTCTCTTGCACCTTGAAAAAAGAGAGTCTATTCTAGTATCACATGACAATAATACAGGCATATCCACAACTGTCGCACCTAGTTATCTCACTTGAAAGGCTAGGGATACACCCCTTAAAAACAAGAAAAAAACCTGCGATAGTGCCCAACGTGGTCTGGAAAACAAACTCCCAACCACTACTAGCAAGTCACACATGTTGGTTACATCTCTCGCTAATGCTCAAGATGGTGTTCAACATGGTAAACAAAATAAATTCGAGCTCAGATTGAATAAAAAATCTAATAGATCAACTAAAGAAAACAAAAAAAAAACCTCCAAAGATACTAAAATTAGCAAGAAAATATTAAAAGAATATTTACATGCAATTAAAAAGTATCTACAATGAAAACTTAAAGAGAATATCAGAAAACTATCAACAGGAAACTCTAATAATAACCAAATTAATTGGGTAACTAAAAAATACAAACCTAAAGAAAACTAAAAGTTTATTAAAAGCATATTACTTTAAACTTTTAAAGAGCAAATTAAAGAATTAAGATGACAAGTTTCTTTAAATAAGCAATGAAAAAAACTTATAGGAGTATAATAGATGGAATATAGACAGAAATAGTATCTACAGCCATATTGATGCAATCAAATATCCTTCAGATATTTTTAAAATATCAAGAATTAGAAGATACTCCAAAATATGAAGTATTGAAAATGGCAATACATAATAAAAAAGCAGATAGAGACATAATAGAAGGGAATAGAAACATAGGATTAAAAATGGTACTATATACGACACTTGGACTATATATTAATAATCAACTGTATAGAGAAAATAAAGTAAATTAGAAAATAAAAAGAATCATAGAAGAATATGCACGTACAAAGGAAATAAATATAAGATGGGCAGTTCTATACTTAGAAACAAAAGATAAATGACAACAATCAAACATGATCAATAATGTCAATTATATATTAGAAAAAATACAACCAATGAAGATAGGAATCTTATTGGAAAACAGTACATCTAACAACTGTTTTGGTACAACAGTTGCTGACCTCATGGATATATTGACTAGTATAAAACAAGAGTTAAGATTTAAGGACAAGAAAAAAAAAAGAAAGCAAATAGAAATTTGCTTTGATACTTAGCATTTCTATGCTGCAGGATGTGAAAAAATAGTACATAAATTTAGAAATGTACTATATATGTATGGACAAGAGATAACGTTAATACATATTAACAATAGTTCACCAGAATGTACATTTGGAAAAGGAATGGATAAGCATGCACACTTAATGGATCCAACTAGCACCATACCACAAGAAGTCTATCAAATGATAGCTCAATACAAAGAGATCTGTGTGATGATATTAGAAACACCAAGTATAGAACAGCAAGATCAATTGGCACAAGTACAAGAAGTACAAAAACTCAGAGAGTATGCAAATGATCTATTAGAAAAAGATCGAAGAATAGAACAATGGTCTAATGAAATTGACTAACAGGAAAATTCAGAAAATATAATGCCTACTATAAGAACAGATATAGGATTTGGAATAATCTATGAAGAACCTGAGATAGTAGATTTAGCAGAACAGCTAGCAAGAATAACACTAGGACTAGCAAATGAAGAACTACAAGGACAAGATCAAAAACAGCTTAACAATAAAATACTTGAAGAAACAATTCAAACTATAAATCAGTTTGAAGAAGAAGTATTCCCACAAGCGGAATCAAGTAATAGAAAAGAAAAACAAGTAAAAATACCAAGTAGATTACCAAGTAGATCTCCAACAATATGACCAAGAATGATAATAAGACAAAAACTAACAAACTGAGAACAAATATTAAAAAGCAGAGATGATATTAAAGATTCAAAAATAGAAGAAAAATTTGAGCAATTACGAACAAAATTGCATCAAATTCAATATCATTATAACTATACTTTAGCACTAGATGATGATCAACTAGAAGAAATATTAAAAATGAAAGAAAAAGTAACAGGTGTAACTCACAGAAAAGCTCATAAATCACGAAGAGAATATATATTTGATTTTTTAAATAAAATATCAAATAAAAATGATGAATCTATATTTGCATTAAGAGGAGCTATTAATGATATGCTCGAAAAATATGAAAGAGATACTAATCTAGCAATCACTATTACAAGTAATCAATTTAAAGCAATGCCAGAATGAGATCAAAGAGAAGTATTAAATAAATTATTATTAGGAGCAAATAATGTACAAAATAAAGAAACCAGAAAAGCAAAACAAAATAAATACAGAGACTTGTTTGCAACACAGTTAGAAACAAAAGGCCAAATGATAATTGAAGAAAATATTGAGACACAATTATCAAAAAATCAGTCACAAATATGAACTAAACCACCATCTCCAAGACTAGAATTACCTAAAACAGGATATCGAGAAGAATATCAATATCATGGATCTCCAAAATCACCACCAAAATCATCAACAGAATTTGATAAATCTTCAATTGATAGTGATGCTTCTGAAAGAAAAAGATAGATGCCATTAATAACTAAAAGATTAAGACCTTTATCTCCCACAGGAGGATGGAAACAAATCTTTGGAGGATTAGAATCCTCAAAACAACATACTCATAGCCCCAAAAAACCATCAAGCTTAAGAAACTCTGTAGACCTTACAAATACTCCTACCAATACCAAAACCAATTCAAAATAATTAACAAACAAGAAATCTGAAATGACCTATAAATAGAAGTAATACTTCATCACCAGTATTATGGCATAAAAATCAAAAAATATATACACTATCAGTAACAAATTCTGAAAATGAAGATGAAGAACAAGAGATATCTCAAAATATTGAAAGAGCATTTAATCAAGAAAATCTAGAAGACAATTCAGAACCTCAACAAATACAGATATAGTCTACATTTAGAGGACAACCTTATACAGTATACTTATCACCAGAAAGGAGCAAAAGAATTATAGAAAATCAATCACTTGAATTCTACATTGAAGAACAATCACAAGCTTCAATAAATACAGGAATAAAAGCACCTGCTAATAAAAGTGATAATGAAAATTTAACTAAAGAACAACAAAAATTTCTAGAAGAAATAGATGAAGAAGTACAAGAACATATAAAAAATAATAATCTTTATATATGACTAAACCATATACACCCTATTAAAAGAAAGAAAATAATACCTACAGTATTATTAGATACAAAAAAGGATGATCAAATATATAGTGCACAAAATATTGTATTACCAAAATATACAATATTATCAATAAAAATAAGAAAACCTATAAAAAATGGATATACAGGAACCCCAGAATACTTAGCTAAAAAAGAAATAGCTATTCAACCAGGAATAGCAAATGGAGATTATATACTAATAGCAAACTACTCAGAAAATGAAGTCCAAAGAAGTAAGGATCAGCATATTGGAAATGTTGAAATACTAGAAAAGTCATCAAAATTTTTTCTCAATGAAATTGAGATTCTGAAGAAAAGAGAAATAGATTGGACAAATAAAAGAGAAGCTGTTAAAAAATGAATTGAAATCTTAAAAAAAAACTGTGGACCTGAAATATGGAAACAATTAGACGATATATTAGAAAAATATATCGATTGCTTTAGAGAAAAACCTGAACCAGAAACTAGTGTAAAACCTGAAATAATACTGAAAATAGAATTAAAATTAAAAATACCAGAAACTGAAATACCTGAAAAAGATAAATGACAACAAGTTAGAAAGTACTTTGAAGAAGAACTGCAAGTCATAAAAACCCTATTAGATAACTTAGTGAAAAACAAAATTGTATACTCAGCATAATCAGAGTGGGGTGTGAATGTATTAGTTATTACCAAAAAAGATGCTACAAAAAAAATAGCCATAGACTATAGGAGCTTAAATAAACATTTAAGCCAATTTAAGCAACCTTTATCTGATATATATCAGATATTGCAAAAAATAGCTATACACAAAATATATATAACAATGGATTTAAAATCGGCATATTAGCAACTCCTTATACACGAAAATAGCAGAAAATATACTGCTAGTATATTTGGGAAATATGGAACCTACGAGTAAAATAATTTACCCTTTGGAATTAGTACTGCACCTGCATACTTAATAGCTGCTATAAATAAATTACTATCTAAATTTGATTGGATTCTACTCTATATAGATGATTTGATTATTATTGCAAACTCTATTGGAAAAATAAGAGATAGATTAATGAGAATATTAATAGAGCTCAAAAGGGGGGCCTGAAACTTAAACCCTTTAAATACGAGTTCTGTGTCAGCAAAACAACAATACTCAATCATGAAGTGGAATATAGAAAAATATGGAAAAATGCTTTAAAAAGTAAGGAAGTAAATAAATTCAAGACTCCAACTTCTAAAAAAGAAGTACAACAATTCTTAGGATTCATGAACTACTTTAAACCATATATTTACGACTTTGGGAAAATAGCAGATCCACTTTATAAACTAACAGGAAATAAAGAGTTCCAATAAGATGATGAATGTACAAAAGCATTTGAACAACTTAAGAAAAAAATGAAAAGAGAACTAGCTCTATCATTTTTAGATCCAAAACAACTATTTTTTATGGAATGTGATGCTTCACAAGAAGCCATAGCCATAATCTTATACCAAGAAGATTTTGAACGACAATATTATAAAAAAGTATCTAAACAAGAGATGCTTAAAGAGAAACTTAAGAATTATTCCAAACCAATCAAATCAGAAAGACACATAATAGAAATAGGCTCAGTAGGATTAAATGAATTACAATGCTGTTGGTCTAGTACACAAAGAGAACTATATGTGATATACGTATTTTTAAAAAAATAGAGACACTATATTGGAATACAACAAGTATATATTTATACTGACTCAACTAGAATATCATCAACAAAATCAATGAAAAGTTGTACAAATCGTACAATGATGAATTAGATTTTACAATTGCAAAGTATAACTATATAATACACAGAATAGTAGGTGCAGAAAACCATGTTGCAGACTACTTATCATGAGGAACAACTGATGAATTACAACAACTAAAAAAAGAAAAAGAAATACTAAAAGAAGTAAAAAAGGAAAAGAAGGCTAAGCTTTAAAAACAATCAACAAAAATTAGAAAAATAAAAGAAAATGATGATTTAAGCAATCTGGCTAAAATAATAAAGAAAAATAGAAACAAGAAATCAAAAAGAAACAAAAATGATTACCCTAATCATTACTGCAACTACCAATCACTATTAATACCAGAACAAATAGAGTTACTACAAGAATCATGAAATGATAAAGAACTATCACTACAGTAACAATTACTAGGAGAAAGACCACAATAGTATCATAAATAAACTGCATGCTGATTAAAAGAATCCTCAAAATATTCACAAGAATTAAACTTCAAAAATTCAGAATCAGAATACTCGAATTTAACCAAATCAGTTCTATGGTCTAAAAAGGAAGCTAAAAAAAGAATTAGTAAAATTTGACCAACATGCACCACCGACTAGAGCTGTGAGTTGGACACAGTTAGTCTACTAACTACTCTGGTCTGGTAGTGTGTGATAATCCAATAAGACTAATTCTTACCTTCAGTGGATTCTATTTGAAAATTTGATTTATTAAAATCATCATCTGGAAAAGACAAAAACTTATTGTAAAGATCACAGTGAAAATTATTATTATTGATGAATCTGTATGAAGAGCCATCAAAATACTTAGACAAAAATAGTAAATTCTCTGGGACCACTTGGTAATGAGTCAAGAGAAATTCATTATATAATAAACCAATTTCCTCAACTCACCTGTTACTTCAAAAAAACAGTACAAAAGATTCAAGTACTTCATAATGAGACTCTGTGGCTTCCAAAAGAAATCAATAAAAATCCAACTGTTGATTACAACATTGACAATTATTATTAACACATGACAAATCAATTCTAATGCTGAATGCAGACATAATAGATTACAAATCGGCTAATAAATATGTAACAAGAGAATATTATATAGAACTCCTAAAAAGTATAAATAATATACTAAAACAAACAATATAGTGAAAATAATTTGCCAAAAAATAAACTCAGTAATTAACAAAGCACTCAAAAGAATATTAAGGATAACATTTGAAAGTATAAAAAGGAGCAAAAAGTTGAAAGAAAATCAACAAAAAACACTCCAATATATAATAAACAATATTATAAAAATATACTTTATCCTATCAATGTATAATTCAAATTACTTCCCACATGAAATTACTAAAATAGGCTTATCAAAAGAGATAGAGCCTTGGTACTTTGACACAAGAGTAATACCAACACAACTGATAAAAGATATCCTTTATTTTAAAAGATTATTTTTGATTAATGAAAGTGATGACTAAATGGATAATCAAGAAACTTACAAAATTCCCACAATTTTAAAATGTTAGAATATCTTAAGTAATGATAACAAATGCATTGAATATTTACAAGATAATGCCTGTATCTATAAAAGTCTAAATTGCTCTCAATGTGACCGACACATGAAACTCTATATGAATAAAAGAATGTTTAGATACAATAATCGAAATTGCAAAAAGGCGCAATCCTTGATGACTAATTCATGGTTTGAAAGAAATAAATTACCAATCAATCTTGTACTCAAGATTTACTACTTTTGGATAAATAGAATACCTGTGACATCAATCGCGACAGTTACAGGATGATCAATACAAACAATTAGCCATCACGTAAATAGTATTAGAAATCTAATCCAGTCACACCTAGAAGAAACAAAACAAAAGATAGACAAACCAGATATCATTATAGAATGTGATGAATCCAAATTTGAAAAAGTCAAATACCACTGTAGAAGATACCGTGAAGGAGTTTGGATATTCAGCGCAGTAGAAAGGACAACTGAAAATGAATATTTGTAACAGTTGTACCAGATAGAAAAGAAGAAATATTATTAAAAATAATACAAGATAACATTGAAGAAGGATCGATTATTTACACAGATTGTTTCAAGTCTTATCAGAATATTAAGATTAAACTTGAACACCAACACCAAACTGTAAACCATTCACAGAACTTCATAGACCCTGAGACTAGAGCTTATACAAACACTATTGAAGCTCATTGGAATGAAATCAAATTACTAATACCGGCAAGAAATCGTAACATTGATAGTATTGAACCATGCTTATTAGAATATATTTGGTGAAGACAAAACAAAAACAAATTGTGGCAAGCATTACTCAAATGTATTGCACAAGAATTATTAATCGAAGCAGATAACTCAGAATTTAAAGGTGAAACCAAAGATAAACCCGAAAAGGGAATAGAAGAATCAAAATAATTCTGAAAATCAAAACAACCCCAAAAATATAAAAAGAGCCCTAAAAAAGTGAACCCTAAAATGATACTACTAAATAGACCTACAAAAGAAAAATCAAAAAGAAACAACTACAAGACAGTGGCTTAAAGAAATACAAATTAAAATACAACAATTTTT